AATGTGGGTATTTTCCGATCAGGAGTGTCCTCTATTTACTTTACTGTTTAAGGCATGACGTGATGGTGTTACTCATCATCGAACCGAAAAGAACGCGCATTACTTATTAGTGACTTAGGACTCATGTAAAAAATTTGGAAGTATCAAGAGGGGAAGTAAAGCACGTTTGGCAGTTGATACTGTAGCACCCAGCATAAGTGGCGAGTAAACCTCTTTTAACTTCCTACATGGACACAAAATTGGCTGATTTGATCATTTAATCCCCATTACTTGTTGCCACTTTCGTCTCCTCTTCCGGGGATCAGCTACTACCCTATCTCGCTTCGGTTCCGTTGAGCATCCAGCCACCAATCTGTCCTAGTATAATCCTATCAGTCCCGAATCTCCCTTAGCTATCATCTCTCAACACTGCTCTGCTCAGCAACCCCTTTTACCGCATCCTGCGACTTACTCTCCCTCATGCCTACTCATGTAATCATCCCATCCTTCCCGCTATGGTACACCGCCCTTTCTGATTAGTGTTGTTCATTTGTTTACCTAATCGAAGGTTTTACTGCCTCTTGCAGATCAGTTCCTCTGTGTTATTGTCGTCTTCCCATAACTCCTCCTATTTTGACTCCTACAGAACCCAAATTTCTCCCAGAAAGCAGCAGTGGCCAAGTAAAAGGAATTCAGCAAATTCTTTGCTGCGCCAGAGGTTAACAAATAATTTTCCCCCACTTCCCGTATCAAAGGCTTGTAGGTCTAAATGGAGATTTCCCAAATAAGCCATTCTCAGCCTTCAATGTGGGCAGCATAGTGCAGACGTTAATTGTACAAGTACTAGCCGTTTTGGTGGATAAATGAGTATAGGGGTTAGTGTGGGGGCTAGGCACTCGACTGCTTCTAGCAGTTATCAGTTCATCTCATTATCACTTTCTTTATGTAAAACGCCAGAATGCAGGTTGAGATTGGAGGTACAGAGAGCACCGGATGAAGAGTTTTGGCAGTAATCCAGGTTAATAAATTAGTAAAACATCCCTTCTCGTGGAGACCTCTTCTCTCTCCCCCTCTACATTCAAATTTGCCTCGTCTCGGACCGATATAAGGCATTATCTTTTCAAAACAGCTCATACATTTAGAAAATAAAAACAATTTCAACTCCATCAGCCGATTACTCACTCACACCGCTACCCATCTTGACCAATTCACAATGTTACCCCTCACTGAGAGAAGATATCTTTTCCAACGGGAATGGTCCTTACTCAGGTCAGCCAGTTCAGCAGAATGGACTTCTTCCCCTTTCTCCACGTCCTGCAACTTCATTTGCATTGTAAAGGATGCAGTAAGAAAAGATTTCTGTTAGTTACCATGCGGCAGTTGTGTTGTCACGGGCAATTTGCACACCATTGTAATTGTAACCGACAGATTAAGAAACTATTCATGCTATTAAAAAGGACAACGCCTGCGGTTGTAGTTGCCTTTGACACTAAGATAAAACTCAGTTTTTGAGGGAGGCTCGTGTTCCACAGCGCTTAGAAGTAAAAGAGAACAAAAAATAACAAAATTACTTGCTGCAAGAAAGGCCAAAACATTTCCCATCATTATACTTACCATCTGTCATTCGGCATTAGCCAATTTGAATGACTTTTATTAGTATGCTATCTAAAGGAATAGTCAAAAATGGCGA